AATGAGTCTCAGTAAATCCAAAGGATTTTAAATTATACACAGTACATTTTACAACCATAACAGAATGAAATTAGAAATCAGCAACAGAAAGATATCTGGAAAATCTTCAAATATTTGTAAACTAAAGAACACACCTATTAAAAAAAATCCATGGGTTAAAAAAGAAATCACAGGGGAAATTAGAAAATAGTTCTAATTTAGTGAAAGTGAAAACAGCAGCAAAATCTGTAGGACATAGCGAAAGTAGTGTTTAGAGGGTACTCGACAATACCGTATTAGTAATGAGTCACTCTTCTCACACACTCCTATCAGCGGCTCGCACGGTGGGCCCCACTCCATCCACAGCCACTGAAACAAACTGCTGGGAGCCCAACCAGCTCTTCTTCAACAAGCCCTCCTGGTGATGCTGCTGCACATTAACGTCTGTAAACCACCGTTTTAAAGTAGCACAGTTCTCATTTGGACTACCGTGACGGCCTATGGCCTCACTCCTGCACTCCACCATCCATTTGCCATAAGGCAGCCAGAGGAAGGAGAATCTGATGAGGTCATATACCTCACCCATCCACCCCCAAGTTAAATCTCTACGGCAAAGGGAAGCCACTGAAAGTACACGAACATGGTTCACCCGAGCCTGCATGGTCTATTCTTCACTTAATCCTCAATCCTCACTACAACCGACCTCACTGTCCTCCTTCTCTCCTGACTCAGCAGACCAGTCATGACTCAGCCCTTTCACCTGCCAAGAATGCCAAGCTGCCGGCTTGTTCACATGCAATTCCTAGAAAGTCATTCCTCCCCTCCCAGGTCTCTGCCACTGGGCTTAGAGAATTCCTAGGCCTTCACAGCTCAGCTCAATGGCTATTTCCTTAGCAAGTCTTTTCTCACTTCCTTAACTTGAAAAAATCTCCCTAAAAGGAATTCTCATAGTACTACCTACCAATTAAGAACTTGTAAGATTTGTGTGATTATTTACTCAATGTCCTCTCTCCAAATAAGCTTGAACCGTGAGGGCAGGATCCGTATCTGGTCTGTCACCCATATTATCCCGTATGTTCAGCATATTGCCTGGCACATGGGAGACAAATGCTTTTTCAGGAATAAACTAATGGGATCTATAGATACAGGCTTTTAAAATCTAGTTTTCTGTGTTTATAATAACAGAAACAAAGTAGTAAGCAAATGAATTTTTCAAGTTGCCTGGAATTGGCATTGGGGAGTAGGTAAAAAGCCAAGGTCTTGTCTAAAATTAAACAAACAAAAGCAAGAAAAACCTGGCAGGATGAAATTCATACATCTACTTTGCCTTTTTTCTCCATCCTAATTAAACAACAGGTGAATTCAGTAGGCTTAACAGGATAATCACAGAATGGTCGGCTCCACTACAAAGAAAACTGCTGCCCAGGAAAAATGAGGGGGAAATGGTAGACAGGATAACTGAACCAAGAATTAGGAATTCCTATGAAGAAATAGAGAAAAAAATAAAGGGTGCAGAAAGGGGAGAAAACACTTGAGTAAGGAATTTAAGGTGCGAAGCACAGCAATCAATCTCTTCCTAACAGGTGGGAGCAGCGGGTTAAGGCAGAGAAGAGTGGCCCTTGAACTTACCTCAGACAGACAATGCAGGTCTGCAGGCTGCAGCAGGGAGAGAATAAAGATTTACAGGACAGAGCAACACGGGCACTCGTGGCTCCCCGCATCACTCTGATGGGTAAAGACAGGTCCTGTCCCACAGAATTAAAACAAAACAAAACAAAACAAAACAAAACTACACATCTGAATTCCCCTGTATTGAGTGGAGGCCAGAGTGGACAATGGAGAGGGAGTGGATGGGCTATTGGGGATGGACTGGAGGTTATAGTCTTTATCTACTAACAAAAACCCCAGTGACTTTTCTTTTTTAGCCACACCTTACCAAATTCTGGTATAAACTTTTTCTGCAAAGGGCGAGATAATATTATAGGGTTTGTGGGCTTTATGATCTCTCTTGCAACAACTCAATTCAGCTTCTTTGGCACAAAAAACAGCAAAAGACAACGTGTAAATGAATGACAAGACAATGTTCCACTCCAATGCTACTTACAGATCATGGGTCAGACTCTGTGATTTAAAGAATGAATTTTATGTTTGAAAATAGTTCTGTACTCTCTATCCACTATTATGGAGAATGAACCAAATTATATTCCTTCACTTTATACTATAATTATGTTGCCAAAGTAAAAACAATTTGAAATATTTTTTGATTAAGTTCCCTGAATTTCTTTTTTGACTCTACTAAGACAATGCCTGGTAGATCAAAAGAAAAAGTACCTAGTATTTTCTGAGTAAATTAAATGTTTTTTCATGAAAGATATGGGGCAATAAGCAAAGCAGAATATCCTAACAAAGCAATGGGATGTAAAATATCCAAGAAAATTTGAAGAAATAAAATCAAGACAAAAAATTATCAGAGTAGCGGTTTTATATTTTAATAAGATATTATAGCAAAAGTTAGAAACTCTTTCAAAACCTAAACCTTTTCTCTTTACTCAATTCCATGTAAATTATGATAGAGTACTCAACTATAAACAATGGATTTTTATTTAAAAATTTCTGATTTCATTAGAATACTTTAAATGACCGAGTCCAGACCAGTCTCTCTGATTTTGCCCCAGAATATTCAACGGTCAACTCCACCTCCTCCACTTGCTCTCTCCCATTTTCATCTCTTTGACTTTTCATTTTCCACTGGCTTCTTCCCAATGACGTCTGAATGTCTTTACGTTTTTAAACCTGCCTTCATCCAGACTTCCTCTCAGCACTCATCTCCTCTTCCATCACAGCCATTCATAGTTTGCTATGCCAATTTTCAGTACATCTTCTTTTATTTACTCAATCATAAGATTTCCAGCTCTACTAGCCCACCAGTACTGGTCTCTCCAAATCATTAAAATAACCTCTTATGCAACAATGGATGGAAACGTTTCAAGGCTTCATTGATCTCTAATCAGCGGTGAAAACTATTGTTTTCTCCCTTCTTAAAACAAATTTCCCCTTGACCACACTGTCCTGACCGTCTTCTTACTTCGTGGCTCTCTCGCGGGTCTCCTTTAGCACACACCTTTCCTCCCTATCTTTGGGGCTCTGAGATCCTAGGCTCTCCCCATTTTACACCAAGCAATCTCTTTCACTCTCATGGCTTCAATTATTTGCTGACTTCCAAATTTTTATCTGCAGCTCAGACCTCTCTCCTGAGCAAAAAGCCACATTAACTCATTGCTTCCGAAATATCTTTTCTTGGATATCCCACTAGATTCCTCAAATTCCTTATATCTAAAACTGAACGCGGAGTGTTCTCGCGTATCTCAGTGAATACTACTGTCATCTACCAGAGTTGTTCAAGCCAAAAACCTGGATGTTATCCTTGATTCCTCTACTCTCCAAAACACTGATTCTACTTCATGTAACTCTCTCAAATATATCTATTCTTCTGCATTACCGCCACTGTTGGGACTCAAAGCATTTCTTTATTAGGTGCTGACCTCAGTTTGGGCTATGCTTCCCTCAGAAGCTTTATCTTTTGCCATTTATTCAACTACTCCCTGCCCCATCCTCAATTCCAATTCTGTGCCTCAGCCATATGCACTAAATCATTCAGTGCTGCAAACAGGCCTGCTCTCTCTTGCCATCTACAGCTCCCACGTGTGGTTTGCTCTGCAGGGAGCACTCCTCCCCTGACTCCTAATGCTTTGGCACCCTTCAAATGTCAGCTTAGGTGTGTTTATGTGGGAACCCTTGTCTAATTCTCTAGACATGGGTTCAATTTCCCTCTTATCTGCCCCTACAATCCACCTCTCTCCTTAATCACAGCACTCAATTTTCTACTAGAATTGCTTATTGCTTATTCACTACACCCCATGAGAGCACAAACTGTGATCTTAACCATTTGATCCCACTTAAAATATAAAATACACTCTATTTCTAAATCAATAAATGAATGTACATCTTATTTTCTCACTTAGATGGACAGGGAACTTTTTGAACCTTCTACCAGTGCCTAAGAGCATATTGTAGGCATTCATTGTATTTGTTAAACTAAGAACAGAATGGAATTATGCTTCTTCTTTCCATGTCTACAGTTGATACACAGCAGTACAAATGCAGTTAAGTATAAATTTGTATTAAACTAAATCTGGACAGTTAATCTTGAAATGTGCAAAAACAAGACCATCATGGTAGAAGCAAAGCTTGTCTTAAGAAGAAATATTCCATCATTCATTGTACACATTGCCCTGAGTTTTTTTAGTAAAGTCCTGTTGTTAGAAGTCTCTCTTTCAAGTCTCTAGTCACTAATTATTCTAAGAAGAAGAGAAACACATAAAAACTAATTATGAATTTTAGTATCATTTCCAAAAAGGTAAAAAGAACTATGGAATACCAAGAAATGAGGAAAAAATAACACCTTAAGAAACACTTAAAAATCAGATAAACAAATATTGCTACAAATACAACTATGTAGAAATAATGTCCTTTCTGATTGATTTTTTTAAAAAAAGAATGTTAAAAAAGAAGGAAAGTTATCAGGAAAAGGTAAATAAAACTTTAAGCAGAACAAGAAACAATACTAGTAATTTTTAACATGAGAGATGAAAAACTCATTATAACGATGCTAAAAATTTTTATCACAAAAAGATTGTGCAATTAATTTGAAAAAGTAATAGTTAAGCATCTTCCATCTTAATTTTCTAGGGTGATCTTATATTTAATGGGATGAATCACAATAAAATAAAATTTAAGATTTATACTCTTGGAAGATACAATGGTTAAGAGGTTAAGAAGCTGGAAGGACAGAACATGGTTATGTTGTAAAATGAGTTAATGCAGACTACCTTTAGTAAATTCTAACAGCATGAAATGAGGATGGTATAAAGAATTAAAAATGTAATACTACACTTCATTCTCCACTCATGACAGTCTTTTAAAACTATGTGTATTTTTAGGTGAATTGTAAGTTTGTTGTTTTTTTTTTCCTAAATCACATGCAGGCTTCTTTCCTCTTTTTTCTTGACATACTATTTGTTATAATGTTATTTTTAGTTATTAGCAGGGCAAGAAACAAAGGGCATTATTTTTAGATTTGATTCATCTTTTGTAATGGGAACTAATTTGACCACCTATAAAATTTTAGTCATTGCATGTTAAAATTTTTAATCACTGCATGTTAGGTATTACTGAAATAGGTATTTTAAAGTTATTCAGTTAAATAATTTAATTTTGGGGGCCATAATAATCTGACCTATTAAAACTCAAGTTTAATTACTGCTTTAAATATTTTAATATAAGGCCTAATAGAATTTTATTTTAAAAATGTTTTTAAAAAATAACAAAAATTAAAACCACCAATACCTTTCCCAACTCTCCCCCAAACTCCCTTAAAATATACGAAGGAACAATGCAACCATGTGATAAAGCATTCTTAGATTGCCAAAGGTAACCTTGCATTCTTTCAGATCAAGGAAGTAACCAATAAGCACCACCACACTCCTACAAAGTCTGAATTGTCTAGCCTCCATCAATTAACAGAGCTGAAGCTGGCTAGGTTGACAACTAGTGTTCATATATTATTTTTGCTGGGTTCTATGGGTAACAGTGTTCCTGAGGCACCAATCAGGTAGTATAATTGAGCAAAGCACAAATAATTACTTGCTAAAGTGATTTAGGTTTGCATTGAACTTAGCATTATCTTAAAATTACCTTTATATGATTTTCTCCCCTGGTAGGGTATGGATTATCTCTGGAAAAAAAAATCCTCATCTTTGTATCCGTGGAATCTAGGTCAGTGTCTGATATGAAAACTATTAACAAGTTTGTTGACTTACTGAAGAAAAAGTATCTTGTTTCTTGACACTTTTTAAATAAGCAGAGTCTTAAAGTGATTCCCAAAGCAGTAGCAAAGGGCATAATAATGGTGAAAGTGAGACTGATATCCTAAGACTGTTATATATTGTTACAGTCTTTATCAATCGAGCAAGTAGACAGTCTTCTTTCCACTTGGTCTCAAAGTTACTAATTTATCTAGACAGTAAGTATATGTTATCCTGTAGCATGGAAGTTAATTTTTAGTTGCTTGGGCATATTTATCTGTCAAACTGTTTTCTGTATTTTATATTAGATCTATCAAATGCAGTAGTAGGTAATATAACTTTTATATTGATGATATATGTTCAAAATCCTTCCATGTGTCTACTAAATATATTTTGATTTGCTTGAAATCCTGGGCACAATAAGATGTGGGGAAGTGCACTGGTACACTTAGCAGCACCTAATCTCATGAGTTTCATACTAGGTGCCAAGAAATTAGGTTGTCCAAATATTTTGGAAATAAAACTAAGTCAGCTGTTCCTTTTCTACCCATTATCTCATACTTTACTCAAGGCACCTACAATGAAACTTTAAAATTAAGGAGAGAAAAACTTACCTAGTTGGGATATTGAACTTAGCATTATCTTAAAATTACCTTTATATGATTTTCTCCCCTGGTAGGGTATGGATTATCTCTGGAAAAAAAAATCCTCATCTTTGTATCCGTGGAATCTAGGTCAGTGTCTGATATGAAAACTATTAACAAGTTTGTTGACTTACTGAAGAAAAAGTATCTTGTTTCTTGACACTTTTTAAATAAGCAGAGTCTTAAAGTGATTCCCAAAGCAGTAGCAAAGGGCATAATAATGGTGAAAGTGAGACTGATATCCTAAGACTGTTATATATTGTTACAGTCTTTATCAATCGAGCAAGTAGACAGTCTTCTTTCCACTTGGTCTCAAAGTTACTAATTTATCTAGACAGTAAGTATATGTTATCCTGTAGCATGGAAGTTAATTTTTAGTTGCTTGGGCATATTTATCTGTCAAACTGTTTTCTGTATTTTATATTAGATCTATCAAATGCAGTAGTAGGTAATATAACTTTTATATTGATGATATATGTTCAAAATCCTTCCATGTGTCTACTAAATATATTTTGATTTGCTTGAAATCCTGGGCACAATAAGATGTGGGGAAGTGCACTGGTACACTTAGCAGCACCTAATCTCATGAGTTTCATACTAGGTGCCAAGAAATTAGGTTGTCCAAATATTTTGGAAATAAAACTAAGTCAGCTGTTCCTTTTCTACCCATTATCTCATACTTTACTCAAGGCACCTACAATGAAACTTTAAAATTAAGGAGAGAAAAACTTACCTAGTTGGGATTTTGAATAATAGTTTGCCATTTGTCCATTGTTGCAAGACTGTCGTTTATGTCTTTTTGTTGACATTTCTGTGGTCTTCCATGGTGGTCTTTTTCTTTTGTTCAATTTGTTAAGAACTTGAGAACTATCAGAAGGATTCTTGTCATAGTTAATACATTTATTTAATTTACTATTGTCAAGGTGGTTGGGAAATTTATTGGTTGAAAGACTATTTGCTTTAGCGTTTTCTATTTCTTTAGATTGCTTTTTAAAACAATTTTGCCTAGCAGAATGGGATCTTAAGGTAAAGCGCCTTGTTTCTTCTACATGAGTTTGATGATTCCTTCCACTGTCAATAGATTCAGGAGAGTAAATTATTGTATTTACCTTAAAAGTATTTCTGTGTTCAAGATAGTTGATCTTTCTCAAAAATATTCTACAATCTTTTAAGGTTTTTGACCTCCAGTTATTTGGACATACATTTCCTAGTCTTGATCCCTTTTCAAAATCTTTTTGGCTGCAATTTGTACCATTCTCTTTTGCTTCTGATTTACATTTATTCCCTAAACTAGTCCGTGTTTTGAAGTCAGACATTGCCACCCTGTGTTGCAAAAAATCACCCCTGATCTCAGGTGACAAAATAGACTGATTATCTACTGTGTTTTTTCCTTGGAGTGGGATGTCAGCATTTGCTCCCCCCTCAGTCTTATTTAAAAATTGGTTCTGGTAGAAAAATCGTAAGTTCCTCCTTTTAGAGATCCAGTCAACTGTTCCATGGTGCAGCTTTCCCTCTCTTCTCCACCTTTTATGTGGCAATCTCTTAAACTCAGTTCTTTTTAATCTGTCTATTGTTAAATTACTTTTCACATTTAGGAGTGGAGAGTTAACCATTTTATGCAGTATATGCAGCTTCCCTGCTGATTTTGAAGGAGAAGATAGTGCAAATTTTTTAAAGTGCTTTCTGAAGGGGCTGGTATTAAAGTCAGAATATTTGGTCCCTAATCTAATTCCTCTGGTATTTATTACTTCCAAAGGGTTTCGAGCATTTGCTTTTCTAACTAGTGAAAGAGACTGTGTTTCTGTCGTTTGCATGAACCAGATACAGAGTTCATTCAAATCACATTTTTTCCGAAAAAGCATTTTTACAGGTGAAACTTCAAGTTCTAAAAGACAAGTTTCCAAAGGGTTTGCTATTTTGAAATTATCATTTTCAATGTGTTCTCTTTTTTTATGGACACAGTTTTCAGCTTCATCTCCACTCACTTGCACCCAAGCATTTGTTATTTGCTCAAATCTATTGTTTAATTCCTTTAGTAAGGAATCATTTGAAGTAGAAGGAGCCCACCACCTGAGCAGAGGGTTTGATGAAATTACCGGGTCCAAGGATACTTCAGAAATGGGTATTAATTTGTTATCGTCCAAAAACTTTTTTGCATTCCTTGAATTTCTACCTCCTGGAATATCTTTGGAAGCTATTTCTATTCTTGACTGCCTATGCTTTTCCTTCTGACTTTTACCTTTCTGCAAATGGAGTTTATATGATTTATGGAGCACAGCATTTTGATAAATAAATGAGCTAGAAGATGCTAATGGATGTAAGAAATGCAGAGATGGTTTTCTATCCTTAATTGAATGTCTCAAAGGTATAGTAGCAACCATACTTTTTGATCCATTCTTAACTATGTCAGCCTCAGTGTGCCTTGTATCCACCTTATTGCACTGGTGATCATACTCTTCGTCATTTGGACTTTTTTCTAATATATTCTCTTGTTCTAAAGGAGGTAAGCAGCTGCTAATACTTACTTCTCTCTCCTGAGGTGAAATTCTATTAATAGTCACAGATATGCCAGAAATTTTCACTTTTGCAGGTCTACCAGGCTTCCTAACTATTGCCAAAGGCTTCTGATTTGGTCGAATAATGTTCTTGGAAGGCTGAGGTGTCACAGACTTGTTCTTGATAGGTCTCACATATTCAAAGCCACACCCCAAGACTGCACTTGCCGTAGTCAAATTTGAAACAGCACTGATTCTCTCACCAAAGTCAATTTTGTGCTCTCTACTGAGATTATCATATCCCGTTGGAAAGTCAGTGACATTATTGTTTAAAGACATAACATTGCTTATGTTTACACTTCCTTCAGAAACATGTCTTTTGGTTCTTCTTGACCTTCCATAAAAAACAGTTACTGTAATAGTCTTTTTGTAAATACCTTCTTTAATTTCTGACATGAGAGATTCTGGGCTTTTCTTTTCATCACTACAGGACTCATTTCTGCAAATGGTGACATCTGTTTGATCACTTTTAGATTTGGGTGGTCTTCCAATTGGTCGCTTAATCTGTTTCACAACCTGGGGACCTATTTTTTTAGGTCTACCTGGTTTTCTTTTAAAAGATGAATCAATAGCACTGCTTGAATTTTCCTTAGGTTCTTCTTGTGGCTTATCAATATTCGTATCATCCATAAACACTGCAGAGGATTCTGAAGATTCTTTTGCACAATTAAATTTGTTTAGTTCTCTTTGAAGAGAGTCACTATCACTAAGATTAGAACTATAATTTTCAAAGTTATCATTTGGGATATCCTCACTTGTTTTTCCTTTTATTTCAGTTACATGATGGGTTTGGGATGGACATTTTTCAGAAGGAATATCAATACTTGATTTGGAAGTACCAACTGAAGTTAAAGTATATTTCACTCCTTCACTGCTTTTAACCTCAGATAAAAACATGAGTTTGATAGGACTAGAATAGTTGGAAAAAGAACACCTTTCAATGGCTTCATATTTTGTTGATACATTCTGAACACTGGAAATCAAGCTACCCGTATCTAACTTTTCCATGTTATCAAGTTTTTTACTATCCAAACCTATTGTAAGTATAGGATTGCTTTTGGTATTGCTGGATGCTACCACAGCTTTAGATAAACTCTGTTCTTTGCATGTCATTTTGCTTACAGTAAGAGTCATATTTTTACCAACACTTTGATCCTTATTATCAATTTCTATCAACTTCTTGGATGCTTTATATCCTTCTGGTAATGACTGATTATTCCAAGACTTTTTGGCCATATTTATTGTATCTTCCAAACGCTCCACAACAACTTGTAAGTTAGAATTCATTGCAATTTTGTTTAGGTCTATATTGTGTGAGCTTTCAATGTGAGTGTTTTTCACTGGATCTTTTTTTTTTGTAGATTCAGAAACTTTTTTGGCCTTAGGTGATTTTTTGAAAACATAATTATTTGTTACATATATAGAGTACCACCCTGGAGGCACAATATTTCGTTTCGTTCTGCTCAAAAGTCCAGGAACATCACTTTTCAAAGGAGTTTGAATATTCTCTAAGTTTGGATTCTCCTTACAATTTTGCAAAAAAATTTTTCCAGCTGCAGATTTCTCTTGTGATTTTATGCTCATTTTCTCCAGGGAAGTTGTTTTAAAGCTTTCTGAAAATGCATCTGAAGCCAAGTTAGTTTCTAAACTATGAAGAGGTAGTTGCAATGACTGTGCTGCATAATCTGGTGAAAACAATGTTTCTGTATGATTATCTTGAAGGCTTTTAGGGTTTTGTAAAGAAGGCCCTTGACAATGATAGAATTCTTCTTTGTCCATTGAAAATATCTCATCATTGCGCATCAATTTCCTTGAATTTTTTTCAGTGTATTTTTTTCTTATCAAATTTTCATCAAGACTAGCAAGTTCTCTTTTTATCTGTAAAGACTGCCTTCTAAACATGGGAGAATCAGAAGAGCTGTGCATTGCAAATAAGGTTTCTTGACGCTTTTGAAATCTTGTCTGAATTTTATTTTCTACCTTTTTATCATATTGACTGAGTAATTCCATAAAACTATAATCACTGGACTTGGCATTATGCAAGAGGGAGGTTATTAAATCTCTCAATTTAAAATCATTATCTGTATTACAATCACTGCTAGATAATTTTATAAGGTTTGTCATATCTGTAGTTTCTATTGATTTTAATTTTTCATTAATACGATCCATTAAATCTTGAAAAATTACAGCAGTTTCACCTTTCTCATGATTTGTAGTACCATTATTGCTGTCTTCCAAGAGCAAAGATTCAGAATTACTGGATTTTGTAGTTTTATACTCTTCGTGATCACACTTGTCACTGCTTATTTCTGCTGGTGTGAGAGATGGAGGCTGCGTAATGTTTGCTTCAAGTCTGTTATTTTCTAGGGCTGAAAGCTCTGAGATGACGTCTTTCAGTTTTTCAAATCCTTCAGTCTGTACTGGTGACAATGGTGGTGGTGAGGGGCTTCGAGATCTACAAACGTCTTTAAGGCTGACTGTAACATCACGTATTTCTCTTGATGGAAGCGGAGTGTGAAAGGCCAATTTTGTGGAGTCAATGTTTGGTAACAGTCCAGAACAGCACCCGTGAGAATTATAACTGTTCGCAGTTCCTCTATTCACTACTGTCTTAATGTGTTCAACAGTTACAGTTTGGCAAGATAAACAATGTAAATCTTTAATACAGACTGGCAGAGGCACAAAACCAGAGCTGTCTCTTTCATTTTGTAAACACCCTCTTTCTGCCAGCCTATATTCACAATTACAGAATAGACCATGTAAATCATCTTCAGTTAGGGGCTTTTGAGTTTCTGAAGACACAGCATATGATGTATTACAAAAACAAAGAGAAGCAGCATTCTGCTCTTGGACTAGAAATTTCAACATAGCCAAAACTTGTTGCTGGTGATGTATGCACAAAGATTCCAAAATTTTGCTTAATGCTGATTTTCCTTTTTCCATTTTAGTAGCTTCCTCTGATTTTGCATCAACAGTTGAACTAAAAATAAAAATCAAACAAAAAATGAATTACAGCAAATATAAGGAGTTACCATTTACAAGGAGTTACAATTTTAACAGAGTTTGAACAAAAGATATTTTGGTATTGCTGGATTCCTAACTCCTAGAGAGCTGAAATAATGACCTGCTGATTATTGTTTAGCAAAAATACAGTGAAGCACTGATAATTAATTTCCTATGACAAAGTATAAAAATCAAAGTAAAGCCCTAGTTTTGAGAAAATAGAAGCCGATCATTGGTATGAGTATATTTACAGATCACTAAGTTTAGTGCTTTTGATTTAATGGAAAAGTGCTTCAGAAGGAATCAAATATTTTTAAAGTAGATGTTTTGTAAGTTATTTCAGTAATTATCAGTCCATATTAGTGCAAATACGAAATATAAGATGTAGGAAAATATTTTATCATTATTTAAAATAGATATTTTTCAAAGTAGTGGAAATAAAATTATTACTTAAAGAGAACTTTGCACAGTCACAAGGAAATCAAGGGATTTAGATTTCATGTAAGTAACAGAATGTCTTTTCTAAGAGTAAGCTGCAGGCATTTTAACCTAATAAGAAAATAAAAAATTTATGCTATTTAAAAATAAATGTATTTTTAATTGATTTTTAAATACTTAAGTAATTATATCAGAACTAAAGGAATTACTTACCTAATTATTTAATTTCAAATGCTGGAAAATGTCCCACTGAAGAAACTAATATACATCTAATTTAACTAAGACCCAGGGTTACTTAGCAACCAATGTAGAAGTCAAAAGAAAAAATTTTTAAATCCAATACCAGCAGTGAGAAGAATAAAATATATTAAAAGATTTCTGTTTCAGAAAAGTATCTATTTAAACATATCACCAAACTCTGTATATTAAAATATCCTCCCACTCATGATTTTTTTGTATTTGTTATCAGTTCCTGGTTTGTAGAAATTTTATTTAGGATTGGAATTGGGATATGCTGATTATGAATTGCTACAGAAGTTTGCATTTTGTAAAGTAGTCTTTTAAAATGAAAAGTTAAATTATTTAATTTTGCTCCCTAAAACCAAATTAACCTGTTTCAGATAAGTATGCAATATTTTATCTACATTTTATAAAAATCATGTTATTTCAGTAATAAAACCACCACAGCAAATTTTGAGTAGTAAATCAAAATTTTTCTAGAAAAAATCTCTCTACTGGATTCAACCAATATTTCACTAAAACTAGCATGTGATTGGTGTAAAGGAGCAATCAAACCAATTAAGAAGAGATATGAAATTATAATAAAACTTAAAATCCACTGCTGCCTATGGACAGATGAAGACAGGATCTAACCCTAGCATCCTTTCTGAAAATAATTTTTTGTAAATTTTATCACGGTTTGGAGTAAATTATGGAACTGACTTCTAAGATTCGCTATTTAAATAATTAAAAAATTACTATGTAGACAACAAAAGCAGGAGGAATGATGAACTAATATGAAACTGTGTTATACTCCTTTTCAGCAAATAAAAAATTTTAATTTTCATATAAACAATAAAAAACCCCAAAATGTTCTGATAGATGCAGTTCAATGGTTTCTTCAAAGTAAAGGCCTATTAAGCATATGAGACTAAATTGAGATTTTACATGTTTCTCAAAAAAACTACACTGTGCTGTATTTTAAAGATTAAGTTTCATACGGTTCCTGGAGTGCTCAAATGCTTTTTTCTACAGGTAAAGTCAAAAGTCAAGTGTAAGTAGAAATAAAACTAATGACTAGTGTTAACTATTGTGAAAACTACTGATTTTATCTCTCTCTTCTGCCATTCCAAGGTGTCAAAAGTCAAGTGTAAGTAGAAATAAAACTAATGACTAGTGTTAACTATTGTGAAAACTACTGATTTTATCTCTCTCTTCTGCCATTCCAAGGAGATTTTTACTTTGAATTTCTTTTTCAGTTTATTGCTTTTAATAATGGGATTTCAAAGATACCATAGTCGCCAGTAATTTCCATCTAATGCTATATGAAGAGTGACTTAATAAGCTTACTAAATTTTCAATTGGACACATTTGAGATACATGTACAAGAGGTAGACACATACATGTATGTGTGTATCTCAAATACTAGATAACTAAGTTTTCAAATTATAAGACTCCATAGTATGATTATTTGACTTCAAATTTTTTCTTTTCCATACTTTTTGCATGTTAGAATCACAAAGAAAAACCTAATATATGAATAAGTAACAGCTGAATACACATAAGTCTCCAAACTAGAATTTATTCTCATGCTTATATAAAGGTTCTAAAATTTTATCTTTCATAGGTCTCTTGTTTTTAATGCTTAAAATTTTTTCTAAACTTTTCCTGTTTGATTTATAAGCTAAAATATCCTATTTTTTGTTTATATCATTACAAGTTTTGTTGTTGAAATAGTTCTTTGGAGAAAGTCAATTTTTAATATTAATAGAACTACTTCCTAGGGTGAATCAAAGAACTCAGTGTAGTCGGTTTTTTCTTTTCTTTTCTTTTTTTTCTTTTACTGAATGAGTAAATCAATCACACACCAACAGTGCTGTAAATTTAAGTGCAAAAGCATTGAAGTGCTTTACTACAAATTACAACCTAGAAACACGTTAACTGAACAATTAAAATCCATACAATCAGATTTAGATATATAACAACACAAAGTAGAAACAGAATTACAGTACATTTACAACACAAGACAGATACATGAATTCATTAGAAAATATTGTAATAAATAATTCATGAATTATAGTGCAATTGATTTATGCATAAATATAACTAATTGCCTAACAATCAGTTTATATTAACAAAATCTGTCAAAATCAAGGCAGCCACAGAGTTTTACTAGATTACTGCGACAATGGAAATACTGCAATTAAAAAACAAATACAAGTATTTGTACTGTAAACAACTAAAAAAATCAGTCTCACTAAAGTTAGTATACAATTTAATATAAAATTGTCATTAGCTACCAGAAATGGTTTAAACAACTTTACTGAGCAGTAGTTTTCTAAAAACAGAGGCACTGTTTTTCTTTTCCTTCTTTTTTTTAAAATATAAAATACTTGAGGAACATTCAAATAAGTAGAAAGCACAGAAGGGTTGCTTTCACCTTTGTTAAAGTCTGCTGAAACTGGATTTTTCAGAAAATTGTCAATAAGTTAATAACTGGTAACTAAATTTATAAAGTACTTTGAAAGTTTAACATAAAGAACATCTTAATAGAATCACTGGGGAGAAGGGGAACCCATAAATTTCCCTGCCTTTCCTAGTTTGTATAATCAAAAGTTAACTCAATAATTAGAAACATTTTGTTTCTCTTAAAAGTTATGGGTTGATCATTACTATAAACTATCAAAAAATATTTAATTTACTATTTCTGACCAAAAATAAATAATACAAGTACTAAAATGCTGTAAATTAACTATAATATTACCTATAAAACTACTGATCATAGTGAAGTCAATAGCAAAATGATCCCTGATTTTATGAATCCTGTAAAGTTTTTGGTCAGGTCATCTTTTAAATAATATAAAAGTGTTCTGTAAGTATCCCTTTACTACAAACTTCTCAATCAATTTATTAATGTAAATATAGTGTGAGGAATAAAAAAGCTCAATATAAATATTATGTAATGCATTTAAGCCCCCAAATTTTGCAAGTAAAATTCTGTATAAAGAGGTCAATAAAATTGTGTTGAAGCATTTACTTTATCTTTGCCTTTGTTTTTCAATGGGGGGAAGGGGAAATATACTAAATAATCCAAGTTCTGGCCCTCACAAAATATGGCTTAATTCTTTAAAAAGAAAGATGACCCTGACATCGGCTGTTTTGCAATCTATTATGTATACTTTCTTGGGGGAAAAAAAAAGAGCAAAATGATTCATACCCCAGTATGCAGGTAACATTAATAGCTGAAGAGGGTTCAGTACAGATCTAGGAGACCAAATAACTACTTGATTGTGTAGTTTCCCACTCTTCAGTTTAAGCATCTGTAAGCAGTTTTTAAATGTACTAGCTGAAAATCTCTTTAGTATCACATGTATATGTGACTATTAGGTTAGATGATTACAAGTGTAAAAACACAAGCATTTGACAAGGTGCACTTTTTAAAAAAATTCATCTTTAAGTATTCCTTTTGGACTTAAGAAAACTGGTTTAGAAAAGTGATCAGAACCTGAATTTTAACAGAGAAAAGGGGCATTTGGAAAATTCTGAAATGTATGAAGCAAATCCCCATTCTTTACATGGAGGCACATGCTTTACAACATTTTACCACTAAAACTGCATACTCCATAAATCCAACATGGATACTCTGTGAACGACATTTTAAAACTGCTATATATAAAAATTACTGTTCTCTCTTAAAGAGTCTAGTAAAAGTTAAAATGCACTGCCCAGCTTCTAACTACCCAATTAGTAGAGAGTTTACATTACTGAAAGTTCAAAACAGCTTCAGTGTTAAATATTTGTAAATCTATTCAAGACCCTGAACAAACTGCAAATTTGGTTATTAGCAAAATGATAATGTTTCGCCCACCAAAATGAAATCTGTAATTCATTTTGATAAACTGAAAATGTTTTGAAATGTCACAGCAGCAAATATATTAAAGTTACACTGAGGTTTTTCAATAGGAGTGTGTCACAATCCTTAAAATTTAAAGTAGTCATAACATCAACTAACCAGCACATTTAAACCAAAGTATCATTCTCAAGCTTTTTCTGCGCACATTATAAACATGCTCTAAGTTGCATTCCAACTTCTTTTCTAACCTTACACATTAGCTTATTTTTCAAATGAAAAACAAAATTAAATTATTTTAATAATTAAATTTAAATTACTTTTTGTTCTTAGTATTCCATCTTATATTAAAGGATTCTATAGCTGCTGGGGTTAGCTATGTGTCAGTTTTTTTAAAAAGTATATACCTTATAAACCCCAACTTCCTGCTAAATCAACTATTAAATGATAAATATTAAATTTCATTATACATATCATTTAAGGTTTTCTTTTTCTATTCCTGGTGGATGCACTTGAGTGCATTTCAAATTTCATAGAATGCACTGTAGTGTACTAATACTGTATACATTAATTTTTCTTAATGTGGAGATAGCTGTCTAAATAATTTAAACTTCAACTGGTTGTCTGACATACTTACAATAACTGTAAGTATATTATGTAAAAGTGTTGACAAACTATCAATATCATATTCCCATTATAAGATGGTTCTATTGAATGGCTGGAGTGGTCTTTTACCAATAAAAATGTTTCACTTGACAATTACTTTTTTTCCCACAACGCTTTATGCTATTGACTACTAAAGAAAACCTGAATCTTTTTCACCTATTTATACAAGGATTAAATACAAACTATCAGAATTAAGTAACTATATAATTCTGTCCACAGTGAAAACCCTGAATAAAACTTTTTTTCAAAAGGCATGTAAGTGGTTTTGAACTGTAAAATTTCATGTCTCCTGTCAAAGTGAGCATCTGTAATTCCGTGTGTATATAGACACACAAATACACACTTGTGCACATACACACACGCAAACACACATACACACACACACACATACACACATACAAACATTTTCCTAACAAGTAATCTACACAGGCTTGCTGCCATTTTTGCAGCTGCCAGTCCCTGAATCTGTCATATTATATAACCCAGTGTCTGGTAATCGCAGTTTCTTCTTCGGAGGAGTCTTCAGTGTTCCAGATCTTTCTTTTACCTTGTATTCTAAAGTGCTGTGAGGTACCCCATAAATTCCTTGTGCTTTGGAAACACTCATTTTTCCACTCATTACCATTGCAATAGCCTCTTCCATTATTTCATGATCATACTGCCGATAACGGCCACGTTTTTTCCTGGGCTGCTTACTATCTTTTCGATCCAATCCATCTTCAGTAGTTTCAGAGGTTCCATCAACTGTTCCATTTTTAGAATTAAGACACAAAGGAGAGAGGTCCCCATGTAGAAAGTAAGAGTCAACACTTGAGTGAGTTACGGGCCCAGAACATTCTATTTTGTTCTGTTTAGGGAGTACATTTTTCAGTTTTTGGAGAGCTGATCCTTCTAGGACTGGAGAGGTTTTGGAAACTTGATACATGACATCCAGCAGACCATGACCATCAGATTGTGGTTTTGAAACAGAACTTACTCGTAGCTGAGGAATTTTTAACTGTACAGTCGGATGTGAAGTTTCATATTGTAGGCTTTCATTTTTTTCTTTGAATTGAGTAACCATTTTCTGCAGAGTTAACTGATGGAGGTAACTGGAAGCTGTTGGGAATTTTAATTCTGAGATTTCAAGTAGATTGAGTTTACTTTTTTCTGTGCGCTCTGCTTGAGCTCTTGCCCACAAGGCTACTTTTTGCAGCACTGCACAAGTTTCTTTACTGTCTTTACATGAGTAACTATCATTGAAATCTCGAGTTTTGTTTTTAAAAGATGCAGGCTTCCCTGCTGGTAAGGCTTCTAAGTGGAGAAGTAAAGTTTTTTGAGGTATGCCATAAAGTATGCCTGCTTTATTTATGTCCAGTGCTCCAGACTGAATGTCTTTCAAAGCTTTTGAGAGCAAACCATCTGCAAACTCAGCACTTCTTTCCACATAGTCCTCTCTGTTTCTGTGTAGTCTCCTGGATGGATGGAATGAAACGATGGTAAACTGATGCATGAGAGACTCTCACACAGCTATGGAAAGGGAGGGTCCACTCCTTTATTATACTCCTTGCTTAGGTAACATCACTGCTTATGACTCTTTTAAGTCTGTGAGATGTAGTAGTTACTCCTTATCAAAGCAAACGCTACAGTCCTGGTAGGACAATGTGTCAATCATACGGTGGCCTCAACGGGCAGACCTTCCAAGAACATAAAATCCTAACTCAGTATTTGTAATAATATTCTCATGATGTTGCTATTCCTCTGACAGATGCTTGCAGAGCAACAGTTAAAATTTTTGTTTGTACAATTAGAGCTCCATTATAAAAAAGTACCCAAATCCTAAAGGAGTTTTTGTTAGTAGAAACGTGACGTTACCGCTAAACAAGTAATAAAAGAGTCAACCCCTTTAAAGGAAATTTGTAGCAGCAAGAATATTTCCAAATACAAACATCCCATATTTCCACAGCACTAATTTTTCTCTAGATAAAAACTTAAAAACTTGTAACACGTAGATTAAGTTGTATTTGGGTGAAATAATTTTAAATATAATAAATGTTATTTCTATTTCAAATGTATCACTGTAGTTTCCAAAGTTTTTTAAGCAGAAAGCTTACTATACCTTATGACTCAAAAGCTACTACAGCCTTAGTTGAAACAAATTATACTCGACACCTATGACTTAAATGTGACAAAAAGCTTCCTACGCGGTTTGTTAATGGGAAGATGCAAAAGTTACCAAAAAAAATCCAAAAACCCAACAGAACAGCATTTCACTATTAATTATTTCTTTAATTTAATGACAGCTTTCAAAGCATGAAAGGACATTTTGTGGTGATTCTAGATATATTAGTTTGCCACCACACCTAAAGCACAATGAAAAAAAATATAAACACTATAAGTTGTAAGAATTAACAAGTATAGTACTTTGAAAACTTGATTATTTAAAAAAATTAAATAATGAAATTACATAGTTTCCTTAAAATTGCCTCCTGAATACTGAATTTTAAATTCTCTTTATTCGTCCCGCTTCTTAGTTTGTATTCTCTGATTAAATTGGTAGTTCATTTTAGTAACATGAACTAAAGTTTGGTGATTGTTCTGATAACTTTTCTTTAACAGAAAGAATAAAAAAGAAAGAGAAAGGACAAATGAAAAGTATGAGACACACACTTATGAGTGACAAAAATTCTGGAGGAAAACTATGTCAGTCAATCTACTCAGAGTAATATTAAGAGTTCTCTGCAGAGATAATTTTATGTTAATATTAAATTTCCTAGATATTGCTTACCCAGCCATTGAATTTTCAGAAGAAGGATCACATATGGATGACTCTTCAGATTTTATGCTGGTTTTCTTTGTAGAGAGATCTAACACTCCATCCCCTATAATTTTTGCAAGAGAAAAAATTTTATATTTGTGACAGACAGGTAATCCTTGCATTTTGACATTTTTCATATTTTGCTCATCTACTAACTCATGACCTAAAAATTAACATTTGTATTTCACATGTGGCCATTAACAATGCTCATCGTGTGGTTTTAGCAACAGGACACAACTGGGGAGGCACTACATAGGAAAAAAGAACACAGAAGGAGTGGCATTTCCAAGTAATAGGAAGAAACGAACAGGCTATGATATAAAATCTGTTTACAATCAACCCTTGGTCACCTTTCCCACTATTTTGCAGTGAACAGACATTTGACTGCTCATCCATAACTGTTTTCTATTCAAGGCTGCCAAGGTGATGCTTTGGGAAAGCAGGAATGATGTAAGTTGTACAGAACAGGAAGCTCAGAAAATAAGATGATGAATAAGAACCTTAATGAGCATTTGCTAGAACTAGCAACATGTGAAACATATACTTTAGGTAAACTGTGACTCTATGTATAACCAGCATAGTTTTTAGATGTCTAGGGATAAAATTTTATTGTTTTAAATAACTGAAATGTACAACAGTTGATCCATTGTTTACATAATATATTGTGGTCATATCTGTGATTGGATGAAGACATAACTTACAATAATGTAACATTTTAGGAAAAATTCCCATTCAGAAGACAACTGCCTAAGTATTTGTTATTAAAATATAATTCTTTATTACAATTATAATACTGAATTTACAAATAGAACAATTCAATATTCAGACATTTTGTTACTCTGACAAACTTCAAGATCAAAAATAAACTATGAATTTAAAACAGCAATAAATACCATGAATACTTTTACTGATAGCTAAAACACTGAATTTAAGAAAAAGATTATAAGAAAATACATGTTTTAAAAATATACTTAAAAACTCTATTTAGTTTTTTAAAAAAAGTCAACTGGGTTTTACTGTTACCATATAAATTTAATAACATTTAAGTTCCTTGGCAAGAAATGAAGAAAAAAAATAAAAATGTTCCACCCATAGCCCACTATGTAGAACTCAATATTAATTTTATTGAGTGTTTACTATGTGCAAAGCATTGTTTTAAGAATCTGGAAAGCAGCAGTAAAAAAAAGCATATAAAGTACCCTGTCTCTTTGGTGCTTAGGGCCTAGAGAGAGAATTCATATTCCAAACAACTGTAGTTCATGTTGATTGTAAGTGCTTCTTAGGAAAAATCAAGCACAGTAAGTGGACAACAGTAATGAGGGCAAGGCTGAATAGGTTCCTATTTTACTGAGTACTATTAGTACAGGCTTCTTTGACTCAGAGTCCTGAACAAAGTGAGGGTACCAACCAAGCAGATTACTCTGGAGAAAAGCTTCAGGAAGGAATAAGTTAGTGCAAAAACTCTGATATGGAATGGTATGTCTGAAATGTCTGAGGAATAACAGAGAGACCAGGGTAGCGAGAGTGGAGCAAGCCAGGCAGAGTAAAACATGAGAAATATCACAGGAAGGTAGATCACACTGGACCTTACAGACCATGGTGAGAAATCTGAACTTTAGTCTGGTAACAGGAATTTCTACCTCTGTCTCTGATCACTTCTTCTTTACCTCCTTAAAAATGGGTCTTTGTCTTTCTTTTAGTACCTCAATTTATTGTTCCAGTTAGCCTTTGGCCCTTTATACTTTTTCTTACTGTATTCTCTAGGAGATTCCTGGACTTCAATTATTAATAATTTATATTAAATTTATTTCTAGAAAATGTTAGTAACATACAAATCTATAGTATATTTTTCTACAGTGTAAAGTATGTAAAACACTACACTAAGAGCATTACATGTTTTAACCCATTTAGTGCTCATACAACACAATATATAAATAGGTCTTAATTTGCAAATTTTAATGATAAACTGAAAGTGAGTTTAATTATCTTGTTCAAGGTCATGAAGTTGTAAGTAGTGAAATTCAAAACCAGGAAGTCATATTCCAGTCCGCACTCAACTACAATTCTAATCTGTATAATAGCTTAAAAAGACAAATTACAAAATTGGTAATGGTGTAATAAACTTGACATGGTCATTATTAATTTGGGAACACACCTCTTTGGAAACAATCTAGCAATATGTTATTAAAAACCTTTAAAATGTTCATAATCTTCTAGGTATCTATCTTAAGAAAAGAATATTTATTACAACAATGTCAAATTAGAAGACTTCCGATTTGCTGACCATGTTTGTCAGCCCATCGTGTTCATCCAAAAGTGATGCTTTTAATAAGTTTTTATTGAAATGACAATAACAAAAATGTGTATAAGTACAGTTTACTGAATCTACACAAACTGAATATCTCTATGTAAGCAGCATCTAGATGACCACCACCAACCCAGACGCCTCCCTTTCCCATCATATCTCTTTCTGGTCACTAATGCACCCCTACCCCCACCATCTTGACTTCTAATCACTTTATGCATTCTCTTTGATACAGCAATTTCACTTCTAGGAATTTACTCTGAGATAAAAATTAAGATTGAGCGCAAAATCTTAGCTCAAGTATGTCTACTTATATATGTCTGAAGGTGTAGAATTCAATACAACATAATCCTTCCACAAAACAGAATACAACTCAGCTAAATAAATCAATTTAACTATTAAAATGACTCTGCAAAAAAAGTCTAGTAATAGAAGGATATTTAAAAATATTATTTACCAAAAACAAAAGTTACAGATGATTATATAATATATGATTTGTGGGAATGAGCTCTGGGAGGAGGGAAGGAGAGTGAGAGAGAACAACTGACCTAAAGAAATGCTTTGACTCAAGTTAAAAGTTTTTGGCAAATATATTTCACAAATGATGCAACACATCAAGGCCACATAAGGTCTATTTTCAGTGATGCTCAAGTGATCAGTGTCCTGATGGTGACAGTTTGACCCCTCCCATTGTAAAATTCTCCAAAGAACTTTTACTTTAACAGTTTTATCTTTTGATGATGTTGATTCAATTATCTTATTAGGAATTGACAAACAGTAATATTTTTTTCCCATTTTTTTTATTAAGGCATTGTTGACATACAATCTTATGTTGGTTTCAAATATACAAGACTGTGGTTCCACAGTTACCCATATTATTAAATCCTCACTCCCTCTAGTACAATTACTATCAACAGAGAAAGATGTTACAGAAGCATTGACTATGTTCTCCATGCTGTACTACTATCCCCGTGACCAACTCACATTGTGTATATAAATCATTGTGCCCCTTTATCGCCTTCACCCTTCCCTCCCACCTATGCTAATCCCTCCACCTTGGTAACCATTATTTCCTTCTTGGTGTCAGTGAGTCTACTGCTATTTTTGTTCCTTCTGCAAAACAGTAATATTTTAAGTCTATCATGTCTTCTGTATTTATTACTGGAATTCTTCAAGATTCTTTCCTAAATTAAAGCTATTTGGTTGTCCTGAAATACAGTTTATAAAAGAAAAGCAGGATAAATGCTTAACTTTTTCCTTTAACTGGTCATTTTCACAGTAATTAATTGGTATGCTACATACCTCCAGTGTAGACTTATGACTTTTGAGGGGTACTCTGTTTTTTTGATCATCATAAACTATTGGACTTTAAAACATTCAATATGCTTCTGTTACCATTGTTCTTCATTTTGATGCTCAAATGTTCTCATACTTGGCCAATGGGGAACACTTTAGCAAACAGTGGATCCTGGATTCAGTTAATAAATTAGTCTTTGGAGCTTCTTTGCTTGTTGGCACAAAAATGTTCTGGGTTTACTTTATTTTCTAATTCAGACCTGGATTCCAAGGAGGCCTGCTTCCTTTTAAAGGAAAATAATGTTTATAGACCACAATCTAGGTCTAGGTTGAATGCTGCTGAGTTGCCATTATGTGTAGAGTAGTTCAGTAGTCAGATTAGGGAATACATATTTTTGAAAAGAAAAAAACTTTCTGACTTTGCACTGACATTTCCAATCCACATGTAATATCATACGGTTTTCTTTGATTTTACTAGTTTGTTTCTTCTCTTACTCTGAAAATCTTAGTTTCCTTACAATGTTAAAATGCTATTTGATATACCATGTAGATTCAAAATAACAATGGCAATATTACTACTAATATTACCAAAAGAGGATTAGGATCTCTTTGAATCTCTCCTTATCCTTAAAACATATTCTACTAAGAATGTATAGGCAAAATACTGTGTAAAGTCACCATACATAATATCTTTTTTCAGTGTCAATATGTTATTAACTTGATGCAGCCAGGTTCATTTGTTATATTCTTTTTCAAACATTAGGAATTGCTTTAATTTTTAAAAATGTTTATTCTTTGGAATATGTAAGATATTTACATAATATTATATAACAAGATTAGTTCACAGCACTTCTATTCTGTCCCCTCTTGCCTCATTTACTTCATGCTTTGTTTTCACAAAAGAGAATGTATAATACACACTGTTCTATATCTGGCTTTTATGACCTAACAATAAAACCTGGAAATGTCACTATAAAGAGATTCTTCTCACCCCTTTTTCTCAGATGCTGATTGTACATCCACACAGTGGATTAATTAACCACTTTGGTTATTTCCAATCCTTTGCCATTGTAAATAATGCCCTTAATAACCTTGAATATGTATCATTCCATATTTGTGTAAATGCATATATAAGTTTAGGAGATACTGTCAATTCCCTTCCATAAAGTACTGTATCAGTTTGTATTCCCTCACTAATGCACAAGAGTGTTTGTTTCTTCAAAGCCTCACCAAACAGGTTATGTTGTTAGCCTTGAACTCCTATTATCTAATAGGTATGAATGACATATGAGTGTGTATTTCCTGTGAGTATAGGAGTGTATTTTCCTGGTTAAAGACTTTAAAAATTTCTTCTATGAACTGACAGTACAATTATGATCATTTCTCTATCGGGTTATTGATCTTTTACCTCTCAATTTCTTGAAACTTCCAATGCATTAGATTTAATAGTCTTATTTTGCAAT